TCTGACTACGATCTGAGCTCTTTCTAGACGCAAATCCAAGCTGCCCAGTGCCTGGTTGGGCCCAATGGCTTTGTCCTACTTACTGCCGGGCTCCAGCACCCTGAATCAGCACCTCACACGTCTACTCAGCCTTGCATGCAACACATATGACCAAGAGCCAACTGTCAGAGCCCTGGTAGGGACACAACCGGCCCTCCTTCTCCAGAGGTCACACTCCTCTTTGGCCAGTTGAGGAAAGGGCAGCCTCAAACTTGCAGTGATCCTCCTGCCTCAGCCTCCCAAGTGCTGGGACTATAGGGTGTGACCCTGCACTTAGCTTCTGGTTGGATGAATGGGGGAGACACCTAAGGAGTTAGTGCTTTGGAATGGAGGCCCTCACAAAAAACAAGTGGCCCTGAGGTGATAAAACCGAGCTCGGGATGTCACTGAGAGATCTAGAAAGAAGGGAAACTCTGTGCACAGGGAAGTAACACGGAGGAAGGGACAACAGTCCCCTGGGCACCTCCTGGCCGGAGCTCCTTGGGCAGGCAGGACAGCAGGACCCATGACCCTCGTGTGTGAAGGAACCAGAAAAGGGAGCGGATGGACCCTTCTAGTCCAGGGTAGCGTTGGACAGGGGCCCGCAGGGGTCAGGATTCTGTGATCTGGGCGACTCACCCAGCCTCCCCACCTCTGCTGTCACCCAAACAAAGTCAGGCCGGGCAAAACCGGGCCCCTCTGATTCCGTGACTCCAGAACTCGTCGTGTTTGTCCACAGCTGGTCTTTTATCTGGGTTCTGAGCCACACCAGGGAGAAAGCAGGCACTGCGCCTTAGGAATCAGAGAGCAAATGTGTGACTTAATATTTCTGAGAGCCCAGGTACTTAAAATATAGAAGCAGCAGCCATTTCAAGGCATTTTAACTCATGACTGAGAGTAGCATTTCATATTTGCTGTTTTTTTTGGGGGGAGGTTGTTTTTGTTTTTGTTTTCAGTACCAGGGATCAAATTCAGGACCTTGCACTTGCCAGGCAGGTGAGACACCTCTGAGCTACATCCTCGGCCCTCAGAGTTGCTTTTTTTTTTTTTTTTACATTTTACTTATTTATTTGTTTTGACACAAGTCCTTACTGTGTAGTACAAACTCGACTTGAACTCACTGTGGAGCCCAGGTTGGCCTTGAACTTTCTGCGATCTTCCTGCCTCAGCCTCCCAAGTGCCGGGATTTCAGGCTTGCCCCACCACATCTGGCTTGCCCTTTATAATTATAAGGGATGCCTTTCAAGAGATTTCAACTGTTCATCTTTGACTCGATAATGACTATTGGAAAATTCCATTTACAGACATAATCCCAAATAAGGACCGCGATTTAGTCACAAAGATGTTCATCTCAGTGCGGCTTATAGCCAGAAAAAAGTCGGGAGTGATTTCTGCATCTGACGTATTGCCGTCTGCCAGCGAATAATCTGGAGGAACGCCCCGAATGTAACTGAGGGTCATCGCGGAAGGCAAATTCCAGTTCAATTGTGGAGCTTAGGAGAAAAAGGAAAGCTCCTGGATGGGAGACTGGAAGGAAATCTGGTTCGTGGGATTCTGGGTGATCCCCCCACCCCCGGCAGTTCTTCCTACCGCGGAATATTTGGCATCTATTCCTTCGAAGCCCTTTCTAAAAGCAGTGCGGAAATGGCATCCGAGGAAGCCGTCGGTGTTCTCACCGCTCCTTGCAGCCGCGCTGGGACCCTGATCCCTTTCCTGCCCTCCTGGCTGGCTGGGGAGGGTGCGGTGGCCGCAGGGTCCAGCTCTGCCGCTCTAGTGCGGGAGAAGGGAGCAGGAGGGCGCGGGCCCAGCAGAGAGGCCAAGCGGGACCCAGCGTCCCCCCGGAGCCCAGAGAACTTCGAGATGTGCCTAGGGGCCGATGGAGGCTTTAGAACAGATGCGGGGACGTAGGCCGGGCTCAGGAAACCCCACTGCCCTCTCTCCCCCAGGAGCTGTGGGGCAGGAGGAAGCCAGGGCCCCACCCAGTGCGTGGAGCAGACCGCAGACTTCCAGGTCGCGCCCCCTCGGAGGGCGGGGCTGGTGTGCGTGTCCCTCCGGGAGCTCATGGCCTGCGTGGACAGGCACAGCCGGGTCCCGTGGGAAGAGGGGTCAGGAGCGGAAACCTCATGAGTGTGTGCCCGTGTGCTTTTGCACACGTGTGCCTGCTCCCGTGCCGACGTGTGTGCACACATGTGTGCGTGGCCTTGGCGTGGTTAAAATGCTCAGGGGAAGAGGATTCCTCTGCCGTGCCAGTCCTGTCACTAAAAGATGGCTCCAGTGCCTGTTTCCAGTCTTGACAAAGTTCAGGCAGTTTCTATGCTCAGGGACTTCGTGTGGGCTCCTGTACCACGGTCTCCACGCACCTGATAAACTTAGTGGCTGAGAACACCACACATTCCTCCCCGGGAGGGCAGAAGTCGGGTCTCGGTTTCACCGGCCATCACGGTGTCAGCAGAGCCGCTCTGAGACTTTGGGCAGAGCCCTCTCCGCCTCTCTAGAGCCGTGTCCCTGCTGGCCGTGGCGGTGGCCGCTTCCTCCGTCCTCACAGCTGGCAGGCAGCACAGCATCCTGCTGGGGGGTCCCTTCGCCGCACCTGTGTCACCTCCCCCTCCCGCTCACGAGGACTTGTGATTATGTGTGCACCTCCGGCTGGTCCAGGGTGACACCAGAGGGTAAGATGTGCAGTGATGTCTCCAGAGAGGGGAGCTGCTCAGGGGAGGTGGCAGTGGCATCCTGGGGGCCTCCAAACGTGGATCCCCAGTTCCCTTCCCTGGCCTGTGCGGAGGGGACTGTGTTGGAGAGGCCCAGGCCTCCCCATCCCTGCAAGTGTCGCCTTGCAGTGGACTGGGCGGGCGGTGGGCAAGCAGTGGCCAGGAAGTGGCACGGGACCTACCCTGACAAGGTGCCACACGCCAGACCTGGAGCTTTGGCGTCTGTAACTTCAGTGTCACCTTCCCAACCCCAGAGGCAGAAGCAGCTCTGACTTTTGCACATTGGCGATCTGTTTGGGATGTGCTCTCTAGAAGAACAGGAGGCGGATCCTGTCTGACTGCATGTCAGTCTGTGATACATTTGCGCCTCTAAGGATACAACTTTGTTACACAGCCCGGCGTGGTGGCGCACACCTGTAATACCAGCACTCGGGAGGCTGAGGCGGGAGGATCGCTGTGAGTTCCAGACCAGCCTGGGCTACATAGTGAGTTCCCGGTCAGTCTCAACTACCTAGTGAGACCCTGTTTCAAAACAAACAAACACAAAAAACTAGTTTGTTACAGTGAAAATTACTCACAGGTGCACTAAATGTATCCCACAGATAAAGAATGTTAGTGGAAGATACCTAGAAGGGTCAAATTGAATTTCTAGTCTCAGTTTCTTAAGGAATCTCCATACTGATTTCCACAGTGGTTGCATGGAAGTTTAAATTCCCACCACCAACGTGGAAGGATTCTTTTTCCCCGCAGCCTCATGTGGAAGTGGCCTGTATGTCCACCAACAGATGAGTGCATAAAGAAAATGTGGTATTTGCACACAGTATAGCACTACTCTGTCACAGAGATAAACCTGGGTCATCTGTAGGATAATGGAGACCATAGTGCTAAGTGAAGTACATCACACACGCATGGTTCCTCTTCCAGGAGAAACCTGAATTGTAAATAAAGAGCAAAATAAAAGCCAGATAATGGGAAGCAGGGGGATAGGTCTTCCTCAGAGGAGAAAGGTGATCAAGAAGAGACGGAGGGAGGAGGAAGGAGAGGAGGAGTAGGGGACAAAAAAAAAGAATGAAATGTGTTCTGTACACGGACCAACTCCACACAAGCAAAGTAAACATTACGTACTGCAAACATGTAATGATGCAAACTTTAAAAATAAAATTGATTCATAGAAAGAAAACAATGTTAGCGGAAAAACTGGAGAAATCTCGGCAAAGCCTAGAGTCCCGCTGGTAGTTAGGCAGCTCTGTCAGTTTTGACAAAGGAGCCGCTGTTATGTAAGATTTAACGGTAGGGAAACTAGGTGCAGAGTAGCTTGGGAACTCTCTGTTCTATCTTTGCAATTTTTCTGTAAAATCCAAAATTCTCCCAAAATAAAAAGACTTCTTCAAAAATTCTGTTCTCAAGTTTTAAACCCCAGCTACTCTAGCAAATCCACAGTTCAATTTTTATTTTATGAAGGCCTAACACGATACAGTACATACATATACATACTCTTAAGCACGCGGCTTGTGGAATTTTGCACATGAAATCAGCCACGTGACGACCCAGATCACGTGTCTTGTGAATGCCCGGCCCGTGCCTTTGCCTATTTTTATCGGATTGGTTTTTTTTCTTCTTGATTCACGGGAGCTCTTTACACATTCAGGTCTGTGTCACATCTTTGTGTTATAAATGCCTTCCCCTTCCTACAGCTTCTTCACTTACTGGTGCCCAATGATGAATGCTTCTGTTCAGCTTAATTGAACCAGTCATTGCTTTGCAAATCAGGCAATGATTCACATCGGAAGACCCTGGCCTTTGAAACCACTTCGGACCAGGAGGCGCTCCAGACCCTCTGTGCCAGGCAGGGTGGGTTCTTACCTTCATGAGAGCAACTGGAGGAGTCGGAAGGCACAGCACTGGTGCCAGTCGGCAGGTCAGGGTAGGGGCTAAATCAGAGCTGTTGCCCCGCTTCCCTGACAAGAAAGCTCTGGGCCCTGTGAATGCCCGCAGGGTAGGAGGGGGACTTCAGGGCTCAGCCTCAGCCTCCACCCCCACCCCAGCTTCCTCTGAACAGCTTGGGGCTGGTTTGTTTTGTGAGACAGGGTCTGCTCATTCACATCTCTGGCTCAGCTCTCCTCGGGACACTGCGAGCACAGACTTGAAGGAAATGGATCAGACACGTGCTTTATTGGGGGCTGGTGTTCAGGCCAGCGAGCCCTGCAGCCTGACAGCCCCTGGGCAGAGGGACAGCTGCAGCTCCCTGTCAAGGGGCTCAGGAAAGCCAGGCTCCTTGGACCTGGGATGAAATTTGCACCTTCTGGAAAGATTAGAAAGATGAGGAGCTAAGGGGTGGCCCATGGAGGGACCCGGGAGGAGGCTTCCGGAGGAAGGGACAGGAAAGGAGGTGCGTGCATCCCCTCCGTCAGCGCTGCAAAGCAGAAAGGGCAGCCGCTGGCCAGCAGGCAGCGTCACGGGGCCCAGACCGAGGCGGGGAAGACCTGCTTCAGGGTGAACATGAGGAAGACCATCTCTCCATAGCTTTTCGCCTCTTACAGGCAGCCGAACTGAGGGGAGCCGTCGGGGCCAGGCCCCATGCTCTGCAGGTCCGAGTAGCCACAGCTGCCCTTGGCCAGCAGAGCCGGGCTAGACCAGCCCTCGGGATCCAGGGGCCGTGAGTTGAGGTAGGCACCCAGGTTGGACCTGTGGTGGGGATCCGTGGGGTGGGTGTACAGCAGCCACGTGCCCAAGGCCCCTGGGTCCTGCCCGGGGCCCTGGAAGCTGACCACGCTCCCCTGGCAGCCATGGGGGGGTTCCACGAGCTTCTTCACCGTCTTGACGGCGCTGAAATCCAGCCCATCGTCGGTGCTCTGGGCCTGCACCCTGGCCCCTTGGGGGCTCCTGGCGTTGAGGTACAGCACCCGATCCTTCTTGACTGCGACCTCAGCCACCTGGCACTCCACGGCGCCCTGGCCCACGAAGCTACTCCGCGCCCATGTGCGCCCTCGTGGGGTGGGTGTACAGCAGCCACGTGCCCAAGGCCCCTGGGTCCTGCCCGGGGCCCTGGAAGCTGACCACGCTCACCTGGCAGCCATGGAGGGGTTCCACGAGCTTCTTCACCCTCTTGACGGCGCTGAAATCCAGCCCATCGTCGGTGCTCTGGGCCTGCACCCTGGCCCCGTGGGGGCTCCTGGCGTTGAGGTACTGCACCCGGTCCTTTACAGCAGCCACGTGCCCAAGGCCCCTGGGTCCTGCCCGGGGCCCTGGAAGCTGACCACGCTCACCTGGCAGCCATGGAGGGGTTCCACGAGCTTCTTCACCCTCTTGACGGCGCTGAAATCCAGCCCATCGTCGGTGCTCTGGGCCTGCACCCTGGCCCCGTGGGGGCTCCTGGCGTTGAGGTACTGCACCCGGTCCTTCTTGACTACGACCTCAGCCACCTGGCACTCCACGGCGCCCTGGCCCACGAAGCTGCTCCACGCCCACGTGCGCCCTCGGTCATGGCTGACGAAGCAGAAGGCCGAGGCAGAAGGCGGCAGCGGGGCCGGCTGCTTGCGGTAGGTGTAGGCAGGCACCACCAGGCCCCGCGTCCCGTTGTGCAGCTGCAGGCAGTGCCCTGGGCCCACAGCAAACGTGGCCCATTCCCCGTGGGCCGGGCCAATGGCCTCGTCGGTGAGGTCCTTGGCGGGGCCCCAGGTCACCCCAGAGTCCTTGCTGATGACATGGCACAGACGGGTCACGTTGACCCCGGTCCGGAGCTGGTGGCCCTCGGACACCTGCCCCAGCACAGCGATGAAGAAGAGGAAGAGGGTCCCCGTCTGCTCGTCGTACAAAGGACACGGGTTCATGGAGCGGTAGCCCTCCAGCCGGGCTTCAGCCACCACCACCTGAGCCTGCCACTGAGTGGGCAGAGAGGGGAGAAGGAAAAGTCCTCAAAAAGCTGGCAACAGTGACAAGTGTTACACTCGGCATGGGCACTGGGGTGGAATAAAGACTACGAGGAACATTCTGGCTCCCACTCACACTGTCCCCTCAGAAGGGAGACCTGGGACTCCGCCTTATTGCCTGCCCAGTGCAGCACAGAATACAATGATCACCTCCCATCTTGCACACACAATCCTCTAGTAATGCATCCACCTAGGAGGGTGCCACCCTGCCAAAAAATGCCGGGCTTCAGCCACCACCACCTGAGCCTGCCACTGAGTGGGCAGAGAGGGGAGAAGGAAAAGTCCTCAAAAAGCTGGCAACAGTGACAAGTGTTACACTCGGCATGGGCACTGGGGTGGAATAAAGACTACGAGGAACATTCTGGCTCCCACTCACACTGTCCCCTCAGAAGGGAGACCTGGGACTCCGCCTTATTGCCTGCCCAGTGCAGCACAGAATACAATGATCACCTTCCATCTTGCACACACAATCCTCTAGTAATGCATCCACCTAGGAGGGTGCCACCCTTTGCCAAAAAAATCCAACATCACCATCTCCTCCAATTGGAGATCAGCATTTTAGCTCCAACTCCTGTCTGGACAGCAAGAGGCCTGCAGGTTTCTGAGTCACCCCAGGTCACCCTCTGCCCTCTGACAGTGCCAGGTCTGCCTGCTTCAAATCCAACGAATATGGACAAAGTTTTAACTCCATGCTTTAAATGACCACTGTTATGATAATAATACTGATAAACCCCGTGACAACCAGCCTGCGGTATCTTTGTCATGATTAATCCCTTCATTTCCAAGCGGGCACTTCAGGACACAGGCACCAAGCCCAGCCTAGCGCCCAGGTGAGTTTGCCTGAGTCCCCAGGGTGCGATCACGGACCTTCCTCCCCAGGCAACTTGGCCGGAAGCAAGTGAACGAGACATGGCCGGCCAGTGTGTGCTCTCTGGGCCCACCCTGCTGCCCCTTCCTGCGTGGCTTCCTGACCCCAACTGGGCTTCAGGTCTTTTCTCTCTGTCCCCAGCCCACAGCCACAGAGGGATGGGATCCTGTTCTCTGAGGCTCAGCCTGGCTCTCCCTGCATGCACCAGCGAGGGCACTGTGGTGGGACCCTGGTGGCTGGATGCCTGCTGCCCTCAGTTCACCTGGACCCGGTGGCTGGCTGCATCGTAGGCTCCCCTGCGCAGGACGATCACGTCTGCCTGCTCGTCCTGCTGGCTCCTCCGCTTTTCTGCGAAGGCCAGCAGGGTGCTCTGGCCCTGCAGGTAGAGCAGCGCCGGGATCCTGTAGGTGTGGATTCCTGACTGGAACAGCTTCTCCCGCTGCAGGACCCTCAGAGTCTCCATGGGGCTTGGGACAGGAAGGAGGCAAAGATGTATCACTGCCTGTGTCAGGAGAGGAGTTGTCTGCCGGCAAGCTGACCCGTCTGAGTGGTCTGTCCTCCCCTCCCACCCCCAGGGCTACTCCTTTTCTTTTGGTTTAGGTTTTCTGTTTTTTTCTTTTCGTGTGTGTGTGTGTGTGTGTGTGTGTGTGTGTGTGTGTGTGTGTGGTTTTTTTTGAGACAAGGTCTTGCTCTGTAGTTCATGCTGGCCTTGAACTCACTTTGTGGCCCAGGTTGGTCTTGAACTCACAGCAGTCCTCCTGCCTCAGCCTCTTGAGTGCTGGGATTATAGGCATGCGACATCGCACCCAGCTCCTCCTTCATACACAAGACCTTGCTTGCTAATTCTGCATGGGCCTCCGTGGGGCTGGCAGCACTCCAGCCAGGAGCTGCAAAATGGATTTTGCAGTTGGTTTTGCCCTAAGTTAACCAGCAGACTCGGGTAACCTTGCCTGCCTTCTCCAAGCAGCACATCCGTCAGATGACAAAGCTCGGGGAGGAGAGGAGCGCTCACTGCCAAGTGGCATTCTGCAGCTGTCCCACTGCCAGGAAATGACACAAGGCAGCTTTTTATAACTCCAGAGCCCTACAAAATTATTTTTTTGGGGGGGAAGAAAATGCCCAGATTCTGAAGGTTGTGTTTCCCGGGCTGCCTGGGCCTGAGGCCCGTACCCCCACTGCGTGGGCTTACCCTAGGGCAGAGGCAGAGACGGGTGGGCTCCTGGCTGAGGTGGGTGAAGCCCCGAGGGGGAGG